TCCTCTCCACGGAAATCTTTAGTAAAAGGCGAAAGATTTATTCGACAACTGAAGAGAAACCAGAGTAACATGAACAGCAAATGTCCTGCGGTAGTCCCAATGTTCACTTAAACCATTTGCGAATTCTATTTCAACAAGCATTCAAAGCACCCTTGAGGTAGGCAATAAAAACTCTGTTTAGGATATTTCATTCACTCCACCTTAATAATTCTCAACCGGCTCTAGCAGTGCAATGGTGTAGTGCTGTGAGTTTAGCAGTGTAAAGTTATCGCTTCTCGGCCTTATGGCTAAGATCAAAGTGTAGTATCTGTTCTTATCAGCTTAACATCTGATAGTTTCTCCATTGGAGAACAACAAATGTTAAACTGATTTTTGGAATCAGACGGAGTGCTAGGGGCTTGCTCCACCTCTGTCGCGGGTTGGCCCGGTATTGCAGTACCGCCGGGATTCGGCCCAAATAAGTAATAAATATCAACCTCACTGAAGTGCGGTCAAGAACAGTCTGATTAATATTAATTAATGTTTTATGTTTATGGGAATTGGACATCCGTCGATAATTTTTAATTTATTCAATGGCAATAGTTTTGCTTAAATGTATTTATAATTAATTTCTCTATCCGCTGCTTGTAGATAACGCTGGAGGACGAGTTTCTGGAGACGCCGCAAGCTTTGTTATCGCAGCTGCTTAATTCGGAGTTACTACGCGTTGATTCTGAATCACAAGTGTTCCAGGCGGCACTTCGTTGGATTAAACACGATGTGACGCAACGGCGCTGCTATGTTTTTGATATACTGTCGCATGTCCGCATGGCCTTGGTGCCCGTGAAAGTAATCGATAAGGCTTTGAAGGATGATTGTCGTGACATGTCTGTGAAAATCGCGTTACGCTCCATTTGTCGAGATATTGCCTCGAAGCGCGGCCAACTGGTACCACTGCGCGTCTGTCCACGGCAGCTGGCAAAGAAAAATATCTACATTATTGGAGGATCACATCGCGATACGCCACGTACTTGGAACTCGGCGGATTGCACTTTCGAAACGGTGGCCAAATTCGATATTTTCCGCCGCGAATGGACTGAGACGGCGCCCATGGAAGTGGGGCGCATTCTGCCGGGCGTGTCGGCACTGAATGGAAAGATTTATGTGGTGGGTGGTGAACGTGGATCGCAAATTCTGGCCAACGGCGAGGTGTACGATCCACAAAACGATATCTGGCAACCAATAGCACCGATGATAGTGCCCCGCTGTGAGTTCGGATTGTGCACCATGGGCGGCAATTTGTTTGCAGTGGGCGGTTGGATTGGTGACGACATTGGCGGCACAATGGAGTGCTACGATCCGGAGAAAGACCTCTGGAAACTGATTGGCAGCATGCCGCAACCACGATTCAGCATGGGCGTCGTTAGCTTCGAAGGGCTGATCTATATAGTGGGCGGCTGCACTACGACTACCAGACATTTACCAGATTTAATAAGGTAAGTAACGATAATATATGTATTGATAAGCGACTTTTAAAGGCATCTCGTTCCAGTTACAATCCCGTGACCAAGGAATGGACGCAGCTTGCGCGCATGCAAACAGCACGCTGTCAAATGGGCGTAGCTGTGCTGGATCGCTACTTGTATGTGGTGGGCGGGAGCAGCATCAGCCAGGACATACTTAGCTCTGTGGAGCGCTACAGCTTTGATGATGATAAGTGGTCGACGGTGTGCGCACTGAACGTTCCGCGCGCAATACCAGCAGTGGCTGCCGCCGATGGTTTACTCTATGTAGCAGGCGGTGATCAGGTGAGTTACTGACACACATACTCTATAATGATCATTATAAATTGATGAATCTTTATTGCTTTTGAACAGCCTTGCGAAGTGAACTTTTATCGTGCACAAGTAACAATCAGCGCTGTGGAATGCTACGACCCACTCTCAGATACTTGGAAGAATTGTCCTGACTTGCCGGTTAGCCGATCCGAAGCTGGCGCCGTAGTTGTGTAAGAAGCAGCATCACCAGCAAGTAGTCCGCGCTTGCCCAAAGTCCAGCAGTCTTACGAATCTTATTTTAAGCACATTTAATATGCCCAGCCAATCACACCAACTATTTTCTCTTTGAAAGTTGAACGTAGTGCTATCCAACCAAAGCTAAAAAGCTAATGAGCTTTGTTGAAGTTTAATGTATATGAAACGTAGCTCAGCTATTTACACACCCAGTTTAGTATTATTTTTAATAGTTAGTCTGGAAAGCAACAGCAAAAACACAGCACAGCACAGCCGGCATCTGATCGTTCCGTAGTAGAAGTTCTTTTGAATAAATACGAAAAATAATAAAACCGAAATTAATGTGGCAAAGATGTTAATCGACGTATCGTAATTGCTGAAAAAATTGTTCAACTCAAGCCTATTTAAAGTTTACGTTATCAAATGAAATTAAATTATGTGAAGAAATAAATAAAATATGTGAAATCGCCAGCATTGTTGGCGCGTTCTTGAAAAGTGCGTGCTCGAATAACATTGTAACTGTATCATTAAAATGTACCAAAAACGAAAAGGAAACATTCAAAACAAATTGTATTAATAATAGGTGTATTTACGAATAATAAACATACGACTAAATCAAAATGGTTGCTTTACTAAAAACATTCCAGCCTCCTCCCCAAAAAACAATTTCCTTTCATCGGTACCCGTTACCAACAACAACAACAGCTGTCGCCTTGAGCATGCGTCGACGAATTTGCGTTCAGTCGCTGCTCAATTTAATAACTTAAGCTAAATATTCTGTTTTTTAAATGTATTTATTAGTTGGGCCGAATCCCGGCGGTACTGCAATACCGGGCCAACCCGCGACAGAGGTGGAGCAAGCCCCTAGCACTCCGTCTGATTCCAAAAATCAGTTTAACATTTGTTGTTCTCCAATGGAGAAACTATCAGATGTTAAGCTGATAAGAACAGATACTACACTTTGATCTTAGCCATAAGGCCGAGAAGCGATAACTTTACACTGCTAAACTCACAGCACTACACCATTGCACTGCTAGAGCCGGTTGAGAATTATTGGAACTCAAAACTAAAATAAATGTAGTGCTGTTAAACGCATTCAATTATTATGTTGCAAATCAGCTGTTACCGAACAGTGCTGTTAGTCTGCCAGCTGTTTTTCATTTTGAATTGTGCCCGCGTAAAATCAATCAACGTAAATTTGTATGTCAAACCTAAATGTAAAATATTTAGGTTTCAAAATTTTTGTTTTATTTTTGTTTCTAAATTATGTGGTAGTATAATTTCTTAAGGCCTAACAATGCAACCCGCCAGCTCGTCCAATGGAATTACCACTGGCTTCGACGCTGACGATTTTCCCAAATCCAGGAGCAGCAAGCGGCGACAACGTCGGAAAGAAAAGCACATCAAACATTTGGAAGACACCAAGCATTTAATATGCACCAAACATTTCTCCAACTATCGCTTGCCGGTGGCGGTTGCCTCGACAGATTTTAAAATGGTGCAGTTGAGTCGGTATGAGTCCATTATAGATCGAGACCGCCATCCCCCACTTTATGTAATTCCGGATCAGAAATCAGAATGGGCGCGCCTGAAAATGATTTCATGTCCATGCCACGGGTGCGATTGTGCATTAGATCCGAATGGTTGGCTCTCTCATTATATAAATGTGCATATGCGCCGACTAGGTGTCCCCTTCGTGGACGTGCCATTTCCGGTTGAAAAGCAAACCTTGCGTGCTTCTTGCAACCTAAGTTATCTCGATTATGATGTGCATACTCTGTTGAGTGTCTATGGCTATCAGCGTTTTGGTCTAAACCCCCTCAAATGTCCGCGAAATACTTTGCTGCCAAAGGAATACCGTAAGTACTCCCAGCACGGCGTTCTACTGCTCTTTGCTTGCCGTACGCGACATGGACTACTTTGGCACCGTAAGCAAATTGATGATGTGGTTGCCATTTGGGTAGCGACCCCGATGCAGGGCGTGACAGTATCGTTACGCTGTGTAGTACAGCCATCCGAATCGGTACGGTACTATTCCAAACGGCTGCAATCACGTCAATTGCCGACATCTGGCCTAAAGCCAACGCCATGCCGTGACTTCATCAAAACGGACTTTAACGTAGTTGTCATTAGCTTTGAGGATTTGCGGGAGCTAATGGCAAAAAGTGAGGGTGAGCAGGTTCTCAATGTGGAACTGCATCTCATGGGCGAGCAGAGAATTTGACAGATTCAATTAGAACTTAACTTATATTTAAACATTAATCAATAAAATGACCTTTAGGCTATAAATAAGTTTTATTGTTTTTGGCAATAGTTTAATGATATATTGTTTAATAAACTAAACACATGCAAACATAATGGTACACAGACATAGATTTTAACTAAGGAATTCATACAGCAAACACAATTGTAGAGATTACGCTCGGTCGAAGCTGCAAGCTGGCTCCAAAAGTTAGCAGCTAGCATCTTCAATTATTAATTCAATTGTTCGTGAATATAAACAATAATCCACTAACATTTGTTATAGATTTTACTTAAATATATTTCGTACAATTTTGTTGAGTTCGCACTCGTTACACTTAAGAAATAAAGAAATAAAAGAATTTACAAATTTTGAGCCTACATACGTAAAATTTAGATTTGATAAGCTATAGTTATGGTATTATATATGTATACATCAAGTTTGTATACAGCTGTGTGAGCGGTAAATATGTGTGTTGTGGGGCATGTAACAATTGGGGGCCCGCTGATTTTGCTTTCGCAAATGCCCAACACAAAAACAAAACGAAATGCAAAAAAATCGACAACGATAAAACGAAACATACTTAACGAGAAAGTAGCTAAAAAGAACATTGTCTATTGTATTAAAATCGGGTCTAACCCGCCTTTTGTGTTTGCTTTTGTCGCTGCAACGCCTCGAACGCTTCGATTTCTTTCTTTTCTTTGGCTTGATTCCGACGCTCATACTCCAGCCGATGCACGATTATACGCTCCACAAT